CATGCACACACACACACGTGCACCCATGCACACATGTACATATGCACATGCACATACACACTTACACACACGATTTTACATTATCAAACAGGCAGGGCGACCCGTGCTTCAGACACCAGTGGAGTGAGGATATTCATCAATCACTCAAAGTTGAAGAGAGACGGGAAAGAGCAATTTTTAAAAAAATTTTATATTTGATAAAGGCTTTCTTAAATGTAATTATATACTTTAATATTGTCCTTATTTGTAATCAAAAGAAGGGCACCACCATGTTTTAGTACATGAGGAGTCTGGGATTCACAGCGTGGCCCTGTCGTGGGGTGGGGAGGACAAACAGCCACGGCACACGCAGGGACAACCACTGGCAAGCACAGGGAGCACGGGCTTGTTTTCTAAGGGCACAGGCTTCACCTGGGCACAGTCTGACCACCCCACAGATGGTTGTCCAAGGAACACTACCCAACCCTGCCCCTTGTCCATGACGTTCCTTCCATCCCAGCATAGACCCAACCACAGCAAGGTGCGGCTCCAAACGAGAGGCCCAAAAGTCTACGGGGTAACCTCTCAGCTTTTTCTGGATCACAGTGAAATAAAAAAAAAAATCATAGAACCAACAATGGTATCATCACAACGTTAGGTCATTGCTATGGACTGAATTGCGTCCCCCCNGAACCAACAATGGTATCATCACAACGTTAGGTCATTGCTATGGACTGAATTGCGTCCCCCCAAAATTCATATGTTAAAGCCCTAACCCCCAATGTGACTGTTTGGAAAAGGAGCTTTTAGGATAATGGAGGTTAAATGAGGTCATAAGGGTGGAGTCCTAATCTGATAGCATTGGTGGCCTTATAAGAGGAGGAAGAGAGAGACCTCTCCACCCCACCATGCACTGAGAAAAGGTCATGTAAGGACACAACAAGAATTCTGCAAGCCAGGAAGAAGCCCCTCACCAGACACTGAATCAGCCAGCACCTTGATTTTAGACCTCCAGCCTCCAGAACTGTGAGAAATAAATGTCTGTTGTTTAAGCCACCTAACAAATTTCTATGGTATTTTGTTATAGCAGCCCAAGCTGACTAACAGGCCATTTATCCTACTCTCTTAACTTCCATTTTTAAATGCTGTGATTGTACTATCTAATGTCATTGTGGTTAAACTCTTAGCTACCCAAACCAGACAAGGCCACATGCAGTTCACTCATCTAGGGGACATCTGTGTGTCTGCTCTGTGCCCGACACTCGGCGTCCACCAAGGCCGAGAAGGTCAGTCCCAGTCACTGAGCTCAAGGCCCAGGAAACAGAAAATACCCAGAGGAGGCGGTGTTTGCAGGGAGAGCCTCTGGGCGCCGCCCTACCCTCCCATCCCTGTTGACTGCAGTATTTCACTATAGGTGCTGCCAGAATGCCATTTCAGACACCTTCCCCACACAATACAGCAAAAGACATGATCAATTACAGTACCTTTTAATTTTGTTTTGCTGAAAAATAATTACAACAATACAATTTTTTTTTTTCCTTTTTGAGACCAGCCACACCACGCTCACTGGCTGTGAGCGCACCAGTCATCCCTATATAGGATCCGAACCCGGGGCGGGAGCGCTGCTGCTCTCCCAGCCCCACACTCTCCTGAGTGCACCATGGGCTCGGCCCCAACAATACAATTTTAAACTGTCCCATCAAATTTTCTGTCTGGGGCCGGCCCGGTGGCGCACTGGAGAGTGCGCCGCTTGGGAGCACGGCGGCACTCCCGCCGAGGGTTCGGATCCCATGTGGAGACCGGTGCCCGCTCACTGGCTGAGCGTGGTGTGGGCGCGACACTGAGGGTTGCGATCCCATTGCCAGTCAGTAAAAAAAGACAAAAAGGAAAAAAAATAATAAAAAATAAAATTTTCTGTCTGTGTGTGAAGTCTTTGCCTTAGCCCAGCACACTGCAG